ACTATGTTTATCTTATCCGAGTGGCCTGAAGAGCACTGGTATTGGAAGTATGGATACTGTAGAAATAATATGTTTGTCATGTCATTATACACTCTTCTTTCGGAAGATCTTATTGATATGGGAAGAAACACTACCCTTTCTCCATTCTTTAAGTGATGCTGTGGCTGTAGATATCACCCATAGCAAGATTTGTATATTATCAGTATCTGTGTGTGTAAGTTGTACCACGAGCAGTTTCCATGGTTACTAACATGGCGCACAATAGTGAAATTTCCAAGTTTTCTAGAGGTTATATTACGTGTTGCATAGATGCCTAACACATAAGGCAGAAGGGGCACGTGACCACCTCCCCCCACACTTTTTTTTTCCGGTTACTTTACAATACACTAGTATAAACAACTATGTAAGATTGACTTTGGCTTTTTTACCTCCCCCACCTTTCAAGAAAGTTAGGCATGTTTTATTGATCACATGTGTAGCTACTGCATATATTATTCGTCTGGATAATATGTTTTTACAGAGAGCTTTCGAATAAATCATGGGACTTAAAAAAAAACGAGAATAAACATCGTTGTTGGAGTAACTTGGTTAACATTATATATATACATAACCAGAAAGAAAGTGCACGTGCATATTGAATATTCAAAGTTCATGGGAGAAAACCGAACAGAATAATTTCACTTGAGAAACGAAAATATGAATTTTTATGTAGTAAAAAAAGTGTAGGGACGGTAAAAATTTCATTCGCCAAAGATTAAAACGCAAAATATTATCAAAATTCAATGACCTAATATACTGGTTACGGTCTTCGTTGGCACCAAAGCAAATTTGTGCACGTTCACATTTCAAACCCTTATTAGCGGCCAGTTTGGTACGCGCTCACGTGACGTCTGGTTGTTGCACGAATACTGCTGAAGAAGTGGCCATGCTTGCTTATTTACATCCCCGGCAGGGAGTGATCCGGTCATATGCTATTTAGGGTGAGTTAGTGCGAAGACAAGAGATCTATTTGGTGTTAGTATTTTTACAGCTTTTGGTCCTTTTTCCCTCCGGGGACGATTCTTCCCGCACGAGCTAAATATCTGAAAACCTAACGAGGAATTACTAGGCTTATAAGTTATGATACTACGTCGTATTGCTCGGGTTTATTTCCACAGATAAAAAATTAATAATTTGATTATGAGGGGATGGCCAATTACTAGACGTTAGGTTTGAACCTGGTGTTTTCCCTGCTCATGGTTGCGAGATTCGGGACAGACACCCCGGAACTGTAGTGTGCCTGTTACGGCCCGTGATATGCGCGGAGAGCAATCTCGTTGTGCGAAATGTCAATATTACTGTCGCACGGGGTTCACATTTGTCTTCTCGCATATTGGCTTGTGTAGCCTAGTAGTAGGTTACACTATTATAGGGGCTTTCACCTTCGAAGCCCTTGAAGCCCAAAACGAACGCGCCAAGCGAGAAGAGATCGTAAGCGAACGAGAAACTATAGTGGAGAACCTGTGGGAGATCACGACCAAAAGTAGCGTTCTGCACGAGGCTAACTGGACTGTCCAGGTAACAGGAGCTCTCAGGCAATTCGAGTGGACTCTGATCAAGGCCGTACGAAAGGAAGGTTATGATGGTAAAGACGAACCCCCCCTGCAATGGAACTTTTTCGGTGCCTTGTTGTATTCGATTATTGTTATAACTACGATAGGTCAAGTATTTTACAGTGTTATATTTTAAAGTTTCGTTATTGCATTCTATCATTATGACAGTCAGTGCTTATTTTCTCGAAAAAGAAAAAGGTGTATCGGATATTTGTTGACTAGTGTGGGGCAGAAAATTCCAGTTTCTTAAAATAATTTAAAGAATATTGAAGCTACTAGTATTTGTAATGGAGCATAGAAGGGGGGGGGGTAAATGTAGTTCACTGTGTCAGTCAAATATCAATTCGCAATGCAACCCCGGCAGTCTTAATATTATTTACAGTGTTTCCGCTTTTAGATTTCAAAAGATATCCAAAATCAGTTCCGATTCTCAGATCCAGAGGAAATTAAGCACTGATCCCAGTCAAATAGACAATGTGTTATTTATCAATCTGTAGTCGCATTGTTATGTTTATCGTTGTTTTGTTACAATAGTAGATAATATGTCTAATGTTTGAATTGTTATAAATTAGCTTTTTCTCAGCGTACTAAGGTTCTTACGAACACCAGTTGCTTAGTTGGGCATTTTAACTTGTGTAAGTATTGTGGATGTTTAGATTTCGGTTTTTATGTATTCAAAAACAAAATTAACGACAAATCACTTGTCAAAGAATACGTTTATTTCGTAGATAATCGGACAGTATGATAAATAGGGAAACAGAATGAGTAGTTATGTCTGGCTGTCCTACATTCATCCTGGAAGTGTATAGGGCGGGTTTTGGCTTATTAAGTTTTTTACAAGATGAATAATTTAGAATTAATTTTTTTGGTTTGAATTTTGTTCAATTATATATACATTATAGAATCGACCTTTGACCTGTACCGAACGCGATTCGTGTGGTACTAAAATAATTTTAATCCATTTTTATTTTGGAGCAAGTTGGAAAGGATCACATTTCTCCAGTCAGTTGATCAAGTTCGATATAGAAGATACATTTTTTGTAAAGAAATCTAGATTAATAATTTATTTCTTTAGCTTAGACTTAGATTCGAGTAGATAATTTGCCCATACATTTGGGATATAAAGATTAAATATATTTATATACATCTTGCAAGGTAGACCTAGGTCTAGAAGTGGAATTCTAGGCCTAGCTTTAGACTTAGATACAAGTAGATAAGTCGCCCATACATTTAGGGTATAAAGATTAAATATATTTATATATATCTTGGCTTTAGACTTAGATACGAGTAGATAAGTTACCCATACATTTAGGATATAAATATTAAATATATTTATATATATCTTGTAAGGTGGGCCTAGGTCTAGAAGTAGTATTTTAGGCCTAGCTCAGACTTAGATTCGAGTAGATAACTCTCCTATACATTTGTAACATAAAGATTATATATATATATATATTGCAAGGTAGGCCTAGGTTTAGAAGTGGAATTTTAGGCCTAGTTTAGACTTTGATTGGAGTCTGTAATATGTACTACCAGACGTACCAATGACCACGGGAACTGATTCCGTTACGTAATTATCACTATTCCCTAAATATCGCAAGGTTGATCCGGATGATAGCTCTAACGAAACCATTGCTGCTTTCAGTCCGATAAAGACACTGTACAAAATTGACCCTACTTTTTAATTATATATATATTTTGTTGTTTGTTTTCTATTTCAGCGCAAAGCTATATAATAATTAATCTACGCTGTACCCACCGAGGGTAACAACTCCAATTTTTTTTAGCATTATAAACTCTCAAACTCGCTACCGAGGTGCATATTTTATGAATATTATTTTCACTTTAGGTCCCTTCACATAAAACCTGAGTAAGCCTAAGGTAAGAAAGCCTATTACTCACTTAATATTAAAATGGCTGACTTATTGCACTAGTTGTAGTATATATAGGGTTACTAGAATGATTGACCTAAAAGTTTCATTAATTTCTTACTGTGAAAGAGGTTTAATATAATGTACAGCGATGATAAAAAAGTTTAATAATTAATGTGAACTTGTGCAGTTTATAACATTAGAAAGAATAAAAAGGGGGAGTGAAGACAATATATAGTGGCGCTCAGTAAAGACTGTATCATATAAATTGAAAATGTAATCCTGTATCGCATATGTCTTTGGCTGACGAGAGAAGTGGAAGCAGGCAGCATTTCACCACAAGGCCTAGGGCCTTAGCGCTGAATGTGGCTTATCGACGGTAGTATTGTCACTGATTAATTACTACAAAAAAGGAGTCTGTCATCAACTATTACTTCCACATTAAGTTGTTTATACGTATAAGAAAATCCCTGTATTAAACACACAATTTATTTATATCAAACTAAGGTATGAACAACAGGTGAATTTCTTCTGAAGCTTGCTTACTCCAACCCTAAACATTAGGGCTACGAATATTTAAGATTCAGTCTATTTTGGTAAGGTTTGTTGATTGAATCAACTTTGACCAGTAGTCTTTGGATTTATAAGCCCATTTTGGCGATTTGTGTCAAAGAAAGTATCGAGCGTTTTAAAATAAAAAACGAACCAATCAAACAAACACCAGTGACGTTAATCTTATCAAGCCAAAAGCCCGTAAAATACACAGTTGTTCAAAATGACGACAGCAATTTCACAGGAGGGTATTTTTTGTATGCCAACAAATGAAGGTGTGAAAACAAATATTTTATGTACATTCTGTGCAGTAAAGTTAAACTATAAGATAATGACAGCAGGTTTTCAAGTATGAATAAGTTAAATTGAAAGTATGCATATATTAGATGGTTTCCAGAGAAACTACGCATCTTCGATTACGTGTCAAAAGGACATTTTTTGCTGCTCAAAATTTCAGTCATAAAAGATGCTGGATGTTTGGATCAACTGTAATAGTTGGCTCAGGTTTCTCTCTTTGAAAGAAATTATTAGCACGAGTTTCAAGTTATATCTTTACAGCTCGCTCTATAGTTAAAGACTGATTGATATAAAATCAGTATGCTAAGATATTACGTCATAAACCGTACTTTGAGTATTTATATAGAAAATACACTAAAATAAAATGCTCTTGTTAAACTATTTTAAATTGTTCCCATTTTACGTGTTTTGAGAAAAGCTATTGTAAACAGTTGTCCCTAATTTGAACCATATTGAAAGCAACTAGTTAACAGCACTCTCCGCCAACTCTCAGGCTACCCTTTTCTAACTAAATTTGGGATTTGACCATCACTCTTAATAGCGCATCTAATGTATGGAGAGCATTTTTGCAGCAACAAGACGCGAATCATAAACCCTCAAAGTCGCAGTGTGAGCACTCTGATTTGTATTATAGTTACATTATATGTCAGTCAACCCGTGACAAGGATTGGCCAAAGTAAGCTTTTTTTTTCCAGTTCTAATGTTAGCCTTGTCGAACTATCAGGTTTTTACTCAAGTGACATTTCCGCTAGCACATGAAACGCATATTTCTTTATATATATATTGTTACGTCTCCGTTTGTT